AGTTTTGTTTTTTGGAAAATCCCTCCATGTTTACATATTTTTGTTATGACATGACGGACTTTTTCTGTCGACATTTTTGGTATTTTATTGATTCCAATTTGAGATTTTATCATTGTATATTGTTATTATTTCTATATTTTGTACTTATATTGAAGTTTTTGTGTTTGCTTCTGATCTGTATATATGTTGTTTAAATTTGATCTTTAATATGGCTACAGCCATATTTGGATTGATCCGGTAGCAGTTGGACTTAACGTCACTTATTCATCTTTGTTAGATACTCTTCGGAGTAATTGTAACCTGGAAGGTGCATCAATTCCAGGTATTGCTTTGTATTTCCATCTTTTAATTAATAAAGACCGTTTTCTCCTAGAATTGTTGCGTTTTCTGGACCTTGGACTGGGAGATACGAGTTCAGGTTGCACTTATTGGAAACCATTGGAACTGCCACCGTAGAAATCCAATTACAGTCTGGAATTATGGCTCGACCTTTGATTAGAAGACCAATTACAGTCGGATTATTAAGAAGAATAAAGAAACATTTGGAAATTTAATCGTTTATAACCCTAACTTTCTTGAAAGAAGAATCTTGGATTACTTATCGTATTTTCGTATTCGAACTGTATTTTGGAAAACGATTTTTTGATTTTGGATATTTCTTATTGAAAAATTACCCGTGGAATTCCTATATTTTGTATTTGTTATTTATCTTCCGTTGAACTTCACTTATAATGACCAATCGCAAGAAAACAAACACGAGGAGGGTGGAAGAGCTTGACGTATCCCGAAATGCTAGGCAAGTCGTTAATGATGATTGTTTAATGGGTTCCTACTTTATTAACAATGATGTTATGTCTGATACTTATTATTGTAAGTCACCTTTGGCAGGCATTAAGGAACAAGGCTTAAGTGAGAGTTCTAAGGTACCAGAGACGGATCAGATACTTAGGACACCGATACAGAATGCTGCTTTAACCTTAGAACAGCTAAATTGTACAACGGAACTTCATTCCCTGGTTACTTTAGAACGAATAGTCAGGCTCTTACCTCGTCGAATGCAAGCCCAGTGGGCAGAGCTGGGAATCAAGTGGGACGAAGAGGAGAGAGAGCCTAATTTCAATGAGTTGACGGAATTTATTATGTCTCGTGCTAAGATAGCTAGTAGTAGGTTTGGAAGATTAGCTTATCGGGCTAAAACAGGACATAATACGGAAGCTACTAGTGGTCTGTGTGCGAGACATTCGGATTTTTCGTTTCTACCTAAAGCACGCTCGGAAGATAAGAGAGTTGTCAATTATATCACGAAAGCATACCCTGATGAAGGACGAGTATGTGACCGTAACGATGTAAAGCCTCTTGATGCGTGTCCTAGCAAGAAGCCGGTTGGTGTAACAGATAAGATGGCTTTTCTAAGTATAGAAAAGAAAGAAAAAGGTGAAAGGTGTAGGCATCAAGATGGATCCGAAGTGTGCGATGATAAAAGCCTCCTAACTGCTCGAAAAGCCTGGAACGGTTATTTGGATTCGAGTAAACAGAGGTTAATGAGTTCAGTAAATATGAATAAGGCCCAGGCAGGATTGTCTGGACGGAATAAAGCCTATGTTCGGAACCCTTCACTGAAAGTAAATTATATAACGGGACCTAGAGTTGATTCTAGGATAAGTGATGGCGGTACTGTAAAGGCTAAGAAGCCTAGGAAACAACATGATGCTACTATTATTAAGAAGCCTAAACATCATTCTCTTTCGGATGCTATGACTAGCAATGGAAATAGTAGTCATCAGAATCTTAGTAGTGACAGCGATAATAAGGAGACAGAAAGTGTGAGCAGTCCACTTATAGTGACTAGTCGATCAACTTCATCGAATGAGCCTTCTAGTGTTTTGACGTCATCGGACCTCGTCACGAATGTTAAGTTGATTGAGGATACACAAGGTTGTGTAACTGTAAGTGTTCCTACTTCGGTTGACTGTCAGTCAAGTGATGATGAGAAGGAAGCGTCTGATGGTAACAGTCAGTTTACAGTGTTGCATGATAACGATGCTATTGATGTGCATATGTCGTGTGTCTCTGAAACGGAACATGAAGAACAACAAGTGAGTTTGTCGTCTTTGGATTGTGACACTAATGCTGTTCTTTCATGTAGTGATATGAGTTATACAAAAATGGAAGAGTTCCACTCTACGGATGCTAATGCAGACCGAATCGACGCGACTTGTCTGACAGAACGGAATCATGATGACGTTGATAATAATCTGGATGTCACTGATGTGACAAATAAGTTACCGACGATGACGAATGCTGATCAAACCTCCTCTGTATCAGGAGATGGAGAGTCTTCTGGAGACGATGAAATGTCAAAATTGGAGATCACACCCTTGCATATTATCTATGGGTCAAGAATTCCTGTTGATAAGTCAGCATCGCGGACTTCATTGTATCTGCTGATCGGAGCAAGTGGTGGTGGATTGACGACTCATCCCCATGATAGGGAATGTAGTTCCCGGATAGGATATGACCAGTTTTACGACGTGTTGTACATGTTCGTGTGGGTTAATTGGGTAAGGTTTATACTACCGTTAGGCCATGCTACGATAGATAGGGGAATCAAGGGCCTGATGGGAAGGTATAGGTACCTAGTTAACTTGATAGGTCATATCCATGTTGAAGGGCGGGTAGGCGTACTGCTGTAAGTCCTACACGTTCTTCCGGAGTGGATTAGGGGATGAGCGGGAACCCTAAATTGAAGTGTCATTAACGCTTGCTTTTTTGCATGGAGGGATTTTGCGGGCCGGTGTAGAATCCTTTTTGAATGTTTTGTTTTTTGGAAAATCCCTCCATGTTTACATATTTTTGTTATGACATGACGGACTTTTTCTGTCGACATTTTTGGTATTTTATTTGATTCCAATTTGAGATTTTATCATTGTATATTGTTATTATTTCTATATTTTGTACTTATATTGAAGTTTTTGTGTTTGCTTCTGATCTGTATATATGTTGTTTAAATTTGATCTTTAATATGGCTACAGCCATATTTGGATTGATCCGGTAGCAGTTGGACTTAACGTCACTTATTCATCTTTGTTAGATACTCTTCGGAGTAATTGTAACCTGGAAGGTGCATCAATTCCAGGTATTGCTTTGTATTTCCATCTTTTAATTAATAAAGACCGTTTTCTCCTAGAATTCTTGCTTTTTTCTGGACCTTGGACTGGGAGATACGAGTTCAGGTTGCACCTATTGGAAACCATTTGAACTGCTACGGTAGAAATCTAATTACAATAGGAACAATGCGACCTGTTCCAGACTCGTCACATGACTACCGATATTACTGTAGGTGATGAAAGGGCTGGTGAATGAGCGAATGTGGGAGCACGTGAATAAGAACAAAATCCTCCATGAAGTTCAACACGGTTTACGGAATTGCAAGTCTTGCCCACCATATCTTCGTATAGCTTAGGACAGTTGAACAACCTGCGGGACGTAAAAATACCGGTGTTTATAACATTTATTGACTTTGCAAAAGCCTTCTACACAGTTCCTTACGTAATCCTAATTGAAAAGCTGGCGAAAATTGGCTTCACTGTTCCATTCCTATCTCGGCTTAGAAACTACCTTTAAAATAGAAAGTTTCGCGCCAAAGTAAATAAGGTGTACGTGAACTCGTGCGTCTGAGTATCGGAAGTTTCACATAGCACCAACTTAGGTCCACTCCTCTTTCTGATATCCCTTAATGACCTGTTAAAAACAATTGGCTCGGCGGTATCGATCTAGGCAGACGATACGAGGCGATGCGGGGTTAATAACCACAGAAAATCTTGACACCAGTTCTAAATACATGAGGAACGCAGCAAAGACAAACGCACTTGTTCATTTTAGGAGGAGAAAACTTGGTACAACCACCCCAGGACTGTTCTTGACATTGTTTAATAAACACAGCCACACCGTGAGAGACATAGATCTCATGAATGGAGTGCAGAAACGAGCAAAGGAAGTGGGTGATAAGGCTGAAAAACAAACGGTATGGGAATAGACTCCAGTGCTTGAGACTACTCTCTCAGAGTTACAGGAGAATCAGAGGTGATCAGATAATGGGTTCAACATATTAAGAACGGCAAATCATTCCAGAGTGGGCATCATACCGAAGCATAACCACCACCTTAGTTGTTATTATTGCAATTTTCTTCGATCACTAACTTAACCTATCTTGTTTATTATTCCTGTTTCTCTTACACTGCAGTCCTTTCGCACAATTTTTCCCAACTTACTTATCCGTTAATTAACACAATTCTGTAATTTCCCTCTTAAAACTTACTTTTTCTCTTTATTATCCCTCACACTGCAACTA